TTTATTTTCAATAGTGAGCAGTCTCTGTTCCTTTAGTAATTCAAATATTGCATCTTACCTGTGAACATGTTTATGCTGTATTTATTAGAATTGTTTGTTATCTAAAAGTCTACTGTGCAATCAGATTGTAAAATGTATGGCCGACTTTAGCTGTATGATTAGCCACAGTAAATTTCTGAGTGTGCAGTTTACTAGGTTACATATAGTTACATAGATAGTCTGGCTGAAAAAAGACAAAAGTCCATCTAGTTCAACCATTAAAAAAAAAAAGTTATAATCCTACACCCACAGGGGATCCAGAGGAAGGCAAAAAAACCAGCAACGTATGATCCAACTTGCTCCTGCAAGAAAAAAAATCCTTCCTGATATACAATATACTTTTTATTGTATTTATTTGTATTTAGTGGTTCTTTCTGAGCATTTATTCCCATCATAATTATTCTATAATTGTCTGTTGCTTTTTTTTATAACACTATCGTTCCCCATCCATTCAAGATCTAATTTATGTTAAACTAAAACAAATCCGGGGCGATCTGCTTTGTGTTTGTTTTCGTTCACAGTATTTTCATTTTATCCTGATTTACTGCTCCATAATTGTTTGTTACTTTTTTCATAACATAACTATTCTCTATAATTAATCCTTTCAATGTCTAATCTGATTTACATTTAAACAGATAGAAGACAATGCAGAACAAAATGTTTCCGTTTCCAAAACAATTCAGCTCATTCATAAAACACAAACGAAAGATATTTACTTAAAAAAAACGTTTATTTAAATCATTTCATCAAACGCTTTCTGTTCAAACCAAATAAAGTAATAAATATTTTAGCATTTTCTTTCTTTTTTTTATACAAAAATAAACAGGTGACCCAAACTTTCTGTGGGGCAGGCAGTGAGGTTGGTGAAGAGGGGGGGCAGGCAGTGAGCAAGCACAAGGCAGGCAGTGATATAGAACAGCTTCAACTTTAATGGGCTGATTTACTAAAGGAGTTGAGAATCTTTACACAATACTTTGTGGGGATAATAACTTCACTGATCCAATCAATGGCAGATTAATAAGTAAATAGGAGTTTGCTTTTTTACTTGACTGGATAATAGAAGTGAATACTCAGACTAATTACTGGAGGAAGATTCTTAACTCTTTCAGTAAATAAGCCTCTAAAGGTTTAGGCAACCACAAAAGCTTTTCACTTGCGGTGGAACCACAAATCCCAGCATGATGCAAATGTCTTGTGGGACTTGCACTTTCACCCTGGGTGATGTGGCACTAGTTTCTCTCGCACAGGTTCTGTTATGATATATATATATATATATATATATAATATCCACATATATATATATATATATATACATATATTTATATTCTATATTTTAAAAACCCCACATATATATACATTTTTTTTCTATACTTTTAAGAGAACAAAATAATGTACCATTTTTTTTACGTATATATATTTATATATCATATACATATATAAAATGTACCATTTTATATATATATATATATATATATATATATATATATATATATATATATATATATACACATACATATATAGAATGTAATATGTGTGTGTGTATATATATATATATATATATATATATATATATATACATATACATATATAAACACATATAATGTGTGTGTGTGTATATATATATATATATATATTATATATATACATACATACATACACACACACATATCATTTTATATATATGTATATCTTGCTATCATTATATATATATATAGATATATATATCATATATATGGTATCATTTATATATATATCAAACAGAACTTTATTGTAATCACTGTGCAGACATGATCATCTTCAGAGTACATTTTCTTATGTATAAGTGCACAAAACAATATTTTCAATTTTTATCAAATTATTTACAAAAAAAAAACAAAAATAACAAAATTATTTTTGAATAAGCATGGACATAATGCAAAAATAAAAAAAAAAAAATCTTGCAGAACGAAAAATTCGATAAAAGGGTATTTTACTAAATGGTCATGAAGTTCCATCGAACTGTTTTTGCCGAAAGACCTATGTTGTGTATTTATTTATTTTGACTTTTTACCTAATTAGACCTTTTAGTAAATTGCCCCCCTATCGTGAGTTTTATTAACCGCAAAATGTATCATGAAAATGTTAAATAGTATATAGTTATATATTTTATATATTTACAAGTCTTTTATTCTAAAAAGAGGGGGGGAATGATAAGAAGTGTGCTAAGGTTGTTAATGAAGGTCTATAAATTTTTGTTTAGAAGAAAAAAGGAATGAAGTTGTGGCTGAGGGGGGTGCGGTGTGCTGATTGGACGAGGGGATTGCTCTGGGGTTTGGGGGTGACCCTCTCCAATCTGGGCTGCAGTCAGTCGAGTTGTGGGTGGTCGCCAGTGAATGGTCAGTCTTTTACAGCAGAGAATCCTTCTTGATCCCGCTGCAGAGTCCATTTTCCGAGTCCTTTGATGTCCCCCTCTATTTCATTTCACAAGCTGCCAGATAAAAATCGCGCCTGTATCCCTTCCCAGCTGCCTCTGTGCACCTCTCTATTGCAAACCCAGTGGGCATTGTTCCCTTTTGGTCATTGTCTCCATTGCCTGCAATCAGCATCCCATCAGGGGGGCATCTATTAACCCGGGGACAGAGACAGCCAGGCTGAAATGACGCAGTGGTCGCTTTGAGGGTTTAGCTTAAAATAATACAAAAAAAACCCAATAATAATAAAAAAAAGTAATAAATAAAAAAGGAGAAATGATAATAAAAGACGAAAAAATCCGCAAATACAGCTTGCGCCACAAACAAGTCAATGTGCGCCCAAACTCCATAGGAGACAATCAGAGGGATGGCAGGCAGGCAGGTTGTGTGGACTCACTTTGGACGCGATTTTTCATCGCTCTATTCATCAAAACTCGGTGACAGATGTGCGGGACAGTGATCTAGAATCCGTTACCGATTATCCATAACTGACACGGCAATGGATGCAGCTAGAAGGCCATAGAGACCTTAGGAGAAAAGTTTGCATGGTAGTGGTGGGGGATTATAAACTGTGCTTGGGAGACCCATGTTGCTGATTTGTAGTCTGCATTGATTTTTAGATATTGATTGGAGATAAGAACATTGGAGACAAAAAAAAATCTGATATGGACCCCCCCCCCTTTAAAACTGCAAAAGAACAACTGACACCCAGAACCTGTGCAGCAATGACGTCACTGCAGTCTTTGAGTGACAGTCCTTGGACTCAGGCAGAGATGGCCTAGTATTGGATGGCCTAGTATTGGTTTTGATTGGACTGAACCATTGAACAGAACCCAGACCCCCTTCTTGTGATCAACTATCAACTTTGTGCAATCTTTATTCCAACCGGTGGGCATACACACTTCGATTTCTTTTCCGATCAATCTCTCCCGATAGAAATAATCGACCTATAGTTGATGGTATATTCAGTTTTCAATCCAAAGTTGGATGATCCAAATGCATTATTGATCACATCTCTGTTTTTCACCATGCAATCTCATTGATCAATTACCCATTGAATTCATGACCAAAGCATCTCAGTACTGCTGATGGATGCAAAACGATCACTAATTTTGCACCTTGGCTGACTCAGTTTTATCGAATCCAATCTAAATCGAGTCTAAATCGATTGGAAGGGAAGTTATACCTATTTGATTATTTTGATCAATCAAATACGAATGTAAAATGATCGATCATTTTGCACCCCGGTTGACTCTGTTTGATCTAGTCCAATCTAAATCGAGTCTAAATCAATCGGAAGGGAAGTTATACCTATTTGATTGATTGGATAAGAACGATAATTTTGCACCCTGGTTGACTGCTTGATCAAGTCCAGTTGAGTCTAAATTGATCGGAAGGGAAGTTATACCTATTTGACTGAATGGATAAGAATGTAAAATGATCGATAATTTTGCACCCTGGTTGACCCAGTTTCATGGAGTCCAATCTAAATCGAGTCTAAATCGATCAGAAGGGAAGTTATATCTATTTGATTAATTTGATCGTTCGGATAAGAAGGTAAAATGATCGATAATTTTGCGCCCTAGTTGATTCAGTTTGACTGAGTCCAATTGAAATCGATTGGAAAGGAAGTTATATCTATTTGTTTAACTTGATCGATTGGATAAAAATGGAAAATGATCGAAAATTTTGCACCCTGGTTGACTTCGTTTGATCGAGTCCAATCTAAATCGAGTCTAAATCGATTGTATGGAAAGTTATACCTATTTGATTCATTTAATTGAATGAGAATATAAAATGATCGACTCTGGTTGACTCAGTTTGATCCAATCCAGTCTAAATTGATCAAAAAGGGAAGTTAAATCTATTCGATCAATCGGATAAAAATGTAAAATGATCAATAATTTTGCACCCCAGCTGATAGACTCTGTTTAGTCAAATCTGATCTAAATCAAGTCTAAATCGATCAGAAGGGAACGCCTATTGTGATGATCGAATCCCACATCGATTGGATAAAAAAAATGGAAGCGTGTATTGCCACCGTTACAGGTGTGATTTTGCACCAAGGCCTGGTAGCCTTGCTCTATCATTCGTAGCGCGTTCCTTCGTATTTTGAGTGGCCCCAATGAAAAATCGCACGTGTAGCTGAGCCCTTGCGACTTATCTTTGAAATCATTCATCTCTAGTGTCTATGGTCTGATCGTACAGACTTCCTCACACATTATGAATACATTCTGTATGGTGGTATTATTGTCAGTGCCACTGTTCATACGACCAACCTCAGTCTACTTGGTGTTTGTATAGGACTTTTATCGGTCCTTTCCCCCCTCTTTGCCATATTTCGTTGTTCTAAAGGGGAGTCCTCATGGAACAAGTCCTTCCAGCACTGATCCACTCGTCCCCTAAAAGCTGCAGGGCAGTCCTCTACTCTGCCTGATAGCAGTATTGCTCCAAGTCGTGGCCGACTGGTAAGTACATGGAAAGTTCTAAAGGGCAATTGTGCCATGGAAGTCATTTGGAGTCAGAGGTGAGCCTGGGTAAGCTGGATCCGCTGAGGTGGTGGTGAGCTGCGGTGGGCATCTGGCACATACTACATGGGCAAGGCATGCCACTCCAGTGAGGGAAGCCTCCACCCAGAGGGACAGAACTGGGGCTGGGGGGACTTCAGGAGACCATGGGACACAGGATTGGAGGATGGAGGGGCAGGAGGAGGAGGTGGGGGTGGTGGGGCTGCCCTGACAGCTGAGATGCCAGTGGTGGTCAGAGAGGCAGCTGTGGGTGGAAGCAGAGGGTGGTGGACAGGATGGCCCACTGGGTGTCCAGATAAAGGAGTTGCATGGCCCATGCCCCCACAGGCTGATGGGTGGTAGGCGGCTGCCGCAGCGGCTGCAGCAGCTGCATGATGGTGGTGCCCCCCATAAATCTCACTGACCAGCCTCTTCATCTCCTCCAGGGAGTTGGTCAGCATCAGGATGTAGTTACGTGCCAGGAGCAGGGTGGCGATCTTGGAGAGTTTGCGCACGGATGGCCCATGGGCGTAGGGCATGACCTCCCTCAGCCCGTCCATGGCGATGTTCAGGTCGTGCATCCTCTTCCTCTCCCGGCTGTTAATCTTCAGCCTTAGTTGCTGCAACTCCGACTCGCTCATCTGCTTCTTGTCCTTCTTGGCCGCCGCCGCAGCTGCAGCAGCCGCCGCCTTGAAGGCCCCCAGCTTGTCCCCCGCAGCCGCGGCCATGGCCATGGCGTTCCGCAGTTCGGCGCTAAGCTCCGCGGGGGAGTCGCTCATGGTGGAGGAGGACACGGCCGCCGAGAAACCGCTTCCTTTCCGCGTGTGCAGGAACAGGTCATCCACCTCTGGGGAGGAGGCTCGGCTGGAGCCCAGGCTGGCGTCAGAATCCATGCTGAGAGTGAAGGGGATCTGCGGAGCAGAGGGATATGGTCATATATCATATCATTATTATATGCTGTTATATATATATAAATATAAATATATATATATATATATATATTATACAAAAATAGGATATGTTTTATGCATTTAATTGTAGCAATAGGACAAAAAAGAAAATTATATAAATACAGATATATATTGAAACAAGAGTATCTATTTTATTTGATATTTATAAAATTGTAAAAATAGGACAAAAAAAGAAAAATGTATAAATAAATAAATAAAAAAAATAGTATATATTTTATAGTATATATTTTTTTTTTATTGCATATATATATATATATATATATATATATATATATATATATTTTTATTGTATATATATATATATATATATATATATAATAGTGACAATAGGCAATAGGACAAATATATATATATATATATATAATATGTATAAAAATAAAAAATAGTGTATGATGTATTTTACAATAGGCAATAGGACAAATATATATATATATATATATATATATATATATATATATATATATATAATAAAAAATAAATAATAGTTATAATTTATTTTTATAATAGTAACGATAGTAACGATATGACAAAAAATAAAAAAAATATTTTGAAACAAAATTGTATATATTTATTTATCTAAAACAGTAACAATAAGACAGACACATAAATAAACGAAAAAATATATATATATATATATATATATATATATATATATATATATATATATATATATATATATATATATACAAATATATAGCAGTCTCAACGTGAGAAAGTGCAACTGCAATAAACTAACACAGATACTAAAATTGCAGTTACACAGGTGGACTTTTTAGCTAAAGCCACAATTTAGGAATTATCTAACCCTAGAATAGTTTACAGAGTGCAACTAGTACATTTATTATATCTGATAATGATGTCTATAAGGGTCCAATGAACTCGTTGCCTTTGTATACTAACTTGCTGTTTATAGTCATTCTCTTACAGTGGCATCCCTTCTGTATAGTAGATTGTTTATACTGAGATTGTATCCATTACACCCACTTATACATCGATTTGATCAGGTCTTCATTATACAGTCACTGGGTCAGTAGCAGAGCCTGTAGCTGACACCCTTCAGTAACAAGCACATACATCATAACTACATCCCCAAAGTCACATACATTTCTAAGGGTAGAAACTTCCTGAGCAGAATGTAGGGGGGGGGGGAGGCTACTTTACTATAGGAGTCATCCCTACACTGGGCTGCATTCATGACAATATCCAGAATCAAGTTCTGGAGGGCACATACAATTCAGGGACCTCCAGTGGACTCCAATAAACAATATAAAATCGGAAAAGAAGAGAACAGTGCTGGTTTGGGGTATCACTCCCTTTATATCCAGCCAAGCACTTGTGTACAAAGGCTAAACTTAAACTACCAAATAGAAACAATTCTGCTGATAACAACAAAAAAACAACAATAGTAATCATTCCACATAAACACAGACTATAGTTCCCGATGACCATACAATAAATGGGATACTAAACACTGACAATGTAACAAAAGTATGCTGAAAGTGGACACAAAGTTTCCTGTTTTTGTTGCCCAGCACATGAAGTGTACGGATTGGGCAGATCCGTGTATTTCTGAATGAGGTCACACCTGCTGGCAGTCAGTGCGGGGGACAGAAGTATATTGTGTTTAATAATAATATATGTATTTTATGTATTTCTATATATTTCCCTGTTTAATCTCTCAGTCCTATGAGTTGGAGGACAATACAGTGAAATACAAAGTGGCGACTTCCCCAGGCTAAATGCACCCCTTCCTAGCCTGGCCTCCTGGACCCAGGGACCACCCTGCCACTTACGTGTCTGTTGGAGGAGATGGCCAGCTCGGAGGCTTGTTGCAGCCGCTGCCAGTAGCTGAGTGGTGTGCGGGGACACGGTGATGGGCAGCACCTTGCCTGCAGACGCGCTTTTATACCCAGACCGGGGAGAACAATGTCATTGTTCAGGACAGGGGGCCAATGACAGCCAATCAGGGGCGGAGGGGGGCGTGACTAGCTCGGGGCTGAATGAGAGGCGCGAGCCCAGCTTTGTGCCCGGGCGACGTCCAATGACAGCTGGGCTGGGCGAAGTCTCCGCCCCCTCCGCATGACAATGACAGGTTTTCTTTTTTTTTTATTTGAAAAGCAACATTGCGGGTCGGGAGACGGCACTCCAGCACCGGGTTCATCAGTGCAAGAGCCTAATAGATTGTACAAACAGCGGCCCGTGTGTGCTCCAGAGCAAACACTCACCGGGCACAATGCACCTCTCTGCTCCTGGATGGGGGGCACAAGCAACGTCCATCAATGTCCAGCCAATCACAGGCAACCCGGTCCCCGGGGCTATGGGGGAGGCAGGATCGCCTGTGCTGATCCCTATTGTAATTATTGTTCTATAGCCGAGAAATGAAGAAATACAGGACAACGTTATTATTAGTATTAGTATTATTATTATTGTTAGTATTATTATTATTATTCATTTTATATTTTTATGTTTAAAACAAGATTGGAAACTACTAATAATTATACATCTAATACTAATACTACTACTAATACTAATACATCTAATACTACTAATACTACAAATAATACTACTAACACTACTACTACTACTAATACTACTACTAATACATCTAATACTGATACTACTAATACTAATACATCTAATACTAATACTACAAATAATACTACTAACACTACTACTACTAATACTACTACTACTACTAACTAATATATCTAATACTGATACTACTAATAATACATCTAATACTAATACTACTACTACTAATAATATAATAATACATCTAATACTACTAATACTAATACTACTACTACTAATATATCTAATACTGATACTACTAATAATACATCTAATACTAATACTACTACTAATAATAATAATAATACATCTAATACTACTAATACTAATACTACTACTACTAATACATCTAATACTGATACTACTAATACTAATAATACATCTAATACTAATACTACTAATACTAAAATAATACTACTAACTACTACTAAATAATAAAAAAACATCTAATAAACTACTAAACTAAAATCTAATACTAATACTACAAATAATAAAACTAACAAACTACTACTACTACTACTAATAATCTAATACTGATACTAAAAAATACATACTAAACTAATACTAATAAATAATAATAATACATAATACTAAAAAAAAAATACTACTAAAAAAAAATCTATACTAAACCTAATACTAATAATACAACTAATACTAATACTACTAAAAAACCAAAATAAAACAAAAAAAAAATACTAACTACTACTAAAAAAATCTAATACTGATACTAAAAAAAAAAAAAATACATCTAATAACTAACTACTAATACAATACATAAAATAAAATAAAAAAAAAAAATAAAATAAACCTAACACTATAAATATACTACTAAAAAACTTATACTAATATAAAAACTATAACTACTAAAACTACTAAACATCTAATACTAATACTACTAACTAAAAAAATAATAATAATAATAATAAAAAATAATACTATAATACTAATAACTAAAACTACTAAAAAAACTAATAATACTACTACTAATACATCTAATAAAATACTACTAATACTAAAAAATACATCTAATAATAACTTTCTACTACTAATACATCTAATACTAATACTACTACTAAAATAATAATAATAATAATAAATCTAATACTAATACTACTACTAAAATAATAAAATACATCTAATACTAATACCACTACTACTAAACATACTAATAATAAATAATAATACATCTAATACTACTAATACTATTACTAACTACTAATAATAATAATACATCTAATACTAAACTACTACTACTAATAATAATACATCTAATACTAATACTACTAATACTACTAATAATAATACATCTAATACTAAATAAACTACTTCTAAACTACTACTACTAAACTAATAATAATAATACATCTAATACTAAAAAACTACTAATAATAATAATAATAAATACATCTAATACTAATACTACTACTAATAATAATAATACATCTAATACTAATAAAAATAAATACTAATAATAATAATAATACATCTAATACTGCTACTACTAATACTACTACTACTAATAATACATCTAATACTAACACTACTACTTAATACTACTACTACTAAATAACAATAATAATACATCTAATACTGATACTACTACTACTAATACTATTACTACTACTAATAATAATACATCTAATACTACTAATAAAAATAATCCATCTAATACTGATACTACTACTACTAATACTATTACTACTAATAATAATAATACATCTAATACTGATACTACTACTACTACCACTACCAATACTACTACTAATATACTAATACTACTAATAATAATAATAGTACATCTAATACTACTACTACTACTACTACTAATAACAATAATAATACATCTAATACTGATACTACTACTACTAATACTAACAATAATACATCTAATACTACTACTGCTACTAATAATACTAATTCTACTACTAATACTACTTCTACTACTAACAATAATAATAATAATACATCTACTAATACTAATAATAATGCTGCTACACTTGTTATCTTCTCACCTATTAGTGAATAGCTCTAAACATCAAGGTCTAGACAGGGAGGATGGAAGATAGGGACCACCTGGCATAGAGAGGGACTGATGGGACACCTGATACAGAGAAGGACTTTTGGGACATGGACTAATAGGATATAAAGAAGGACTGATACGGCACTTGACATATAGGCATTGGGATACAGAGAGGAACTTACTGATGGGCTACACTTGAAATATAGAAGATTTGTAT